AATGATGTACAAATGCGCTTTACACAATTGATGTGTGTATGGATTGCGATAACAGTTGTATGAGCCCCTAATAAAATGTTTTAAAAAAAAAGCATCTCAATGGCTTTATTATTTATTCACACACACAAACTGATCTAATGAAGGAATAATATGTAAGTAAAAGTGAAATCATTAGTGGTCAGATGGTTATTTATACCACCATCATCTCACGGGCCGTTTGTTTAGCAGCCGCCCTGCTCCTCTGGGTAACTACAAGCCTAGGTACTAAAGCACCAGGCCTGCTATAAAGCTCCGTCTCATTCCTCCCAGGAGGGGAAGTGGAGAGAACAGCGCATTTAGCTCCACAAAATTGGTTCACATCAGGACCATGGCCCTTTCAAGATAGGTCACGGAGTCAATCGACCTGTCTCCAACCTTTATTTCCTTCTCTGCAAGATGCGGATGGCATTTACCCTGCCGAGTAGTTTTGTGAACTAAAAGGAATAAAATAGGCCAACTTAAGTTCCAAAATTTTACTAGCGCCCCATTAACATGGAGGCATATTGTGATTTATGTACAAAGATGACTCATTCGTCATCCACTAAACTTCCTGAGCGTCATCACCATCAGTTATCCAGCATGATCGCGTCAAGGGGAGGGTGAAAAGAGGAAGGGCCCTTGCCAAGACGGACGGCCACAGTGGCTGGGACAATGGGCTCAAACATGGGAACCATGGTGAGGATGGCGCAGGACCAGGCGGCAAGGATTTGCTGTGTTGCACATGGGCTCACTCCAGGTCGGAGGGACTCGGTGACACCTGCCAACAACAGCATCGTGTGGTAGACCCAAAGACCGAACCAAAGATAGGCCCTAAGGCGTTTAGACTCCAGTGGAGACAAAGAAGCTGTAAGGTGGACAGTGCGTGTTTGGCCTTGGCTCGGGATGCTAGGGAGCCGGAAGGAACTCCCAGACTGGGGTTGGCCGGAGAGAGTGGCAGACGACTTCCTGCGTCTGTCTCAGTACGGATGCCACAGCACGTGGAGCGGAGCATGCACTGCTCTGGGGGTGGTCCACACGTTCCACAGTCCAAGGTCCCAGTCAGTTGAGAGGCTTTCCAGCCCCTTGTGGCAGATTCCCTCGCCCTTAGTTCTGTGGGCATGCTGAGCAGAGAACTCTTTGTCCCAGGAAGCTGCTGTGTGCTTTCTAGAACAGTTACCGGCATCCCAGTCTCTGCTCACTGCATTTCAAGAGCATCCCCACCCATCCCAGTCTGACAACCAAACATGTCTCCAGGCACCGCTAATAGCTCAGGGGAGGTGGGGGCAAACAAAACTTTCCTCCGTTGAAACGTCTGCCTTAAGTCCATGGAAAACCAGCGTGGGCAATTCCAGAAGGAATGAGATCTGTACAGTTAGTATTGAGATCATTAGACCAGGTGGGGGGATGAATAAACTTCCTGGAGCTCCTCTGACTAATTCCTTTTGAGTCTCATCCAGAAAAGTCCTAGGCCAGTCGTTTAGTCCACAGGCACCGAGCTGAGATGCAACGATAGCACCACAGCCGTCCATTCGTGCTTGAAAAACGTTGTCTGGACTTGGTCGAGCAGTTCAGAGTCTGAGTCTCAGCTCTGTC